GCGCTGACCGCTGCGGTCGGAGAGACGAGTTCATGATCACAGACGCCGGGCGGGGTTGGGCAAGAGAGAGAGACGGCGGCGGCGGTGCTGACGCGGCCCAGGGCTCGTAGCTGAAAGTGGTCGACGGCGTGAAAGGCGGCGAGGCAGCGCGGGGTGACGCGGGCGGTGTTGACCGTAAACAAAACAATACACGCGGGGGGCGTTTCTAGATTCCGCGTGCTGCGAGCACGGTACACGTGTGTCACGGCGGACAAAGTGACGCCATGCCACTCGGAGGAAGCTGCAGGAAGACATCAGGCAACTGGACATACAGACCAGGTTTGTTCGTATCTCTGAAAGTGCCTAAGTCGAGTGTCCGTAAGTAGAGGAGTCTCTGTCCAACAATGAAGCGATAAACTACAGCCACGTGCATCAAAGCACCACAGCGCAGATCACCTTCCTGCATCTTCCCTCGCACTGCTCTGCTCCACTTTGGAATACCTGCCACAATTTATTTCCCCAAGACTTTAACGACCCCCTCTCTCTTCAAGCAACGCGCTACGTGCCCTTACCCATTGCAACTTCGACAGCGCTCGTTTGTTGATGGTCAGTTGAACCTTATGGCGAGACCCCGGGGTCCCGAATAAACGGAAGTCAAAATCGTAATTAATCTATTTATTCTTGGCGACTCCGTCCCACCGCGCACATAAACGCCGCAACCCGCCTGGAGCAGATCGTTCTGTTGTCGTGTCGTGTCCCAGCGCAGCAGCGAGGACGAACGCGCACAAGAGCTGAACAAGCGAATGCGCTCCACGCTCGGGTATGGGCAGGATCACGAGTCGTATCCAAAGCTGCTCAAACTGCCTACACGACTTAAATCTGTAATTGTCATAACGGGATGCATAATACAGTACAACTGCTCTCTTATCTTAATTATTATTTAGACCTACCAATGTCTGCAGCCAGGATCAATCGATGACCATCCTATTACCTGCAGATATTTAACAGATGAGATGCGTTGCACCGTTAATTCCTCCTATTTGATTATAATACTTCTCTTGTCCGTATGCATCTGTGCAGGTAGGTTTTGCGGTTAAGCCATAGTCCCTACGTACCGCTCGTATCAATGCGGATAAGAGGAGTGGCGACCCACTGCTCTGTAGAGTAACATTGGTATAAACGCTTGTTACAATATGAACAGCGCATTGAAAATGCGTACTATTTTATATACTGTTTACAAAGTGTGTTCACAAATCCACACTGAGAAACACGCTGATTGACAGAGGGGTGTAAATTGTTTTTTCGATAGTGTATTTAAAGAGGTACTGCAGGTAAGTAGTTTTAAAGGCATAGCTTAACAAGACAACACTTGCCACCATTCTTCAAACCCATTGGTGAAAAAGAGCAAAGTTTGTGTTGACATTATAATATATAATGGTAATGCGAGAGCCGGGGGCTTATGGGACCCCGGGGTCCCGCCACAAGATTCAGTTGAAGGTTTTGCACCTTTGCGACTGTGGAATTTCCACCCCATGGTACAGGATTGCCAACAACGAGAGCTCGTTAGGGTGCCAAGGCACAGTCTGACGTGATGGAAAAAGTCCACGTAAGTCAGATCACGTTTAGCGTGGGGTTTTTGAGTATGTATTTTTCGTCGGACCTCAAGCCGAGAAGTTTATTTATTTCTCATTTTGTTCTTTGTACCAGGGCAAGGGCCCGCTGAGCTGCATAGCTCTTTCCCAGAAGCGACCTGGCTATCACAAGCGATGACCCAACGAAGACGTCGCGTGTCGTCACGTGAACAGGCGTGGCAGCCAAACACTCTGAACGCGGAGGGTAAAAAACGGAGGTCCTGGAGAGCGAGAGACATGCAAACTCGAAATATACAGCAGCAGGCGTCAGGGTCGGGATCGAACCCACGACTTCCTGCGAACCAGGCGAGGTAGTTAACATCTCCTAGCCACCGTGATGATCTCGAGACAGAGAGACACTCAAACTCGAAATATACAGCAGGCGTCAGGGTCGGGATCGAACCCACGACTTCCTGCGAACCAGGCGAGGTAGTTAACATCTCCTAGCCACCGTGATGATCTCGAGACAGAGAGACACTCAAACTCGAAATATACAGCAGGCGTCAGGGTCGGGATCGAACCCACGACTTCCTGCGAACCAGGCGAGGTAGTCAACACCTCGCCTGGGGGCCACCGCGGCGCCCATGTTCCAAATGTGATGCCCGAATCGAGATGAGGCGGGAGAGAGAGAAAGAGTGAGCGAGAGAGTGAGCGAGAGAGTGAGTGAGCGAGAGAGTGAGCGAGAGAGTGAGCGAGAGAGTGAGCGAGAGAGTGAGCGAGAGAGTGATCGAGAGATTGACCGCGAATGTGAGCGAGAGAGTGAGCGAGAGAGTGAGCGAGAGAGTGAGCGAGAAAGTGAGCGAGAGAGTGAGTGAGAGAGTGAGCGAGAGGTGGGGGTTTACAAAAAGCAAAGTTATTTTAAAAAATACGAAATGATGAACGAAGCAAAGTGCCGAATATACCGAGCATCTTCTTGTTTCCACTGATCGTAAAAAAAGAGAGGGAGAGAGAGAGTGGGAGAGACGATCGCTGAATCAAACAAAACGAATGTTCGTGGTAACGGAGTCGCCCGCGGGCGAGGGGAATGCTTCCACGGGGGGGGGGGGGGGGGGCAGGTCTGGGCACCTGCCTGGGCCTGGCGGCACGGCACGCGCGACCGGTCCGGGGAGCCGGTGGGGGCCCCGCGATGGGAGCGAGCGCGGAGCGAGTCGGGGGGAGGGGAGTGCAGGGGGGGGGGGGGGGAGTGCATGGGGGGGGGGGTGCAGGGGGGGGGGAGTGCATGGGGGGAGGCGCAGATCCTCACCCCAACCCCCCCGCGCCTGAGACCTTGATGGCCTCTCTCTTGAGAGAGGCTGCTCTCAGTGCGGGACGCAGGGCTCGTGCGGCATGGAGACCGTGCAGATGATACAAAACACACTCGTGCAACACGTGCCGCACTAACACAGGACACACACACAGCGTGCAACACGTGCCGCACTCACACTGGACACACGCACACACACAGCATGCAACACGTGCCGCACTAACACAGGACACACACACACAGCGTCAACACGTGCCGCACTAACACAGGACACACAGCGTGCAACACGTGCCGCACTAACACAGGACACACACACACACAACATGAAGCACATGCCTCAATAACGCTGCGCTGAGTGCACGTGCTATCATCTCTGTATGGTGTCGTATGTCTTTGTGTTTCTATACGGAGGGCGGCAGCGTAGCGGTTTGCGGCAACATCGCGCTATGACCCCGGCGACCCAAGTTCAACTCCAGGCCACGGTTAACAGCATAGCCAGTGATGTCAGGGATTCCTCCAGGTCAATGCAGCCTTACGACAGGCTCCCTGGAGCAGGGTGTGAACATGGTGTGAACATGGTGTGAACATGGGGTGAGCAGGGTGTGAACATGGGGTGAACATGGTGTGAACATGGTGTGAACATGGGGTGAACATGGGGTGAACATGGGGTGAACTGGGTGCGGGCCAGAGCATCCCTCGTGCGCCGCATTCGTCTTCACAGGTGCTGCTACTCGCTAGCAGCACTTGCAACCAACAACAGTCTGTTATGGATACAGGGTAGGGAGTAAGGGGGGGCTCTCTTTGTCTTTGCTTGTAGTGCGTGGCGTGTGAGTGTAAACGCACTCTCGCTGCCGCTGTTGTCCTAGTGAGTGTGGGTTTACGGTAAACTGTTGTCCCTGCGAGTGTGGGTTTACGGTAGGCAAACAAACGCCGTTGTTGTTGTTTTTTGTATGATCGTTGTTAAAAAGAACGCATTCCTGCACCACCACCACCAGCAACGCCAATTAGCCCAGAGGGAACGGCCGAGACCTACGGCCGAGACCGGGCAAGTGGTTACCACCACTCATTGCATTTACGCAGCCATTGTTCCTCGGGCGTGTTTATTGCCTCGATTCCGAATTTCACGCGGCTGAGTAGCTCATCGGTTGCGCGTGCGTTGCGGGTGCGTTCGTTTGCTGACGCCGGTATGTTCTGTGAGCACGTAACTGCTCCACGAGCAGTACTGTCTGTACACACACACGACATACACATGATGACATGCCCCTTGTGATGCCACACAGATAAAGATCCCCCCCCCGTATAGCCTTTACAGACCGTTGGGGCAAGTGCTGTTAGCGAGCAGCACCTATAGAAGCCGAAATGCCACACGAGCGGGTGTGGTGGCCAGCACCACGCCCGGCCACCTTTGTCTCCCTAGTGGCGATGTTAACACACCGCACCAGATATTAATGTAAGGCTGATACGACCTACAGTAAGCCCAGGACCGGTTCAGATAATTGTCACTGATGTTGGCCGTGAGCTTTAGGCAACATGAAACTGTGGAAGGCTCGCAAGCAGGCGGTCATGGGGATAGACCCAGGTGCCATGGGTGGACTGCTGTGCCAGGCTATGTGCAGGCGGTTATGGGGACAGACCCAGGTCCCGTGGGTTGACCGATTGAGATGATTGGCAGATGCACCACCTGCACTCCCGATACTGTGCCAACTCGCTGCGTTTAATCCGCCCGGCGCTCTGTCATTGTTGTGAGTGTCGCACCCCCCTCCTACTCCTCCTCTGCCCTTCGTTATTGCTGGAGGGCGCAACTCCTCGAAACTGCCCAGTTGCGTTCCTTCTCGTACACAAACATCCCTACACACACACAGCCCTACGAACAAAAAGCCCTGCGCTCACAGGCCAATGGCAACCCTGCACAGGTCGAACGCACACGCAGAGGCGTGACGTGACAGGTCGCCTTTGCATTCCACGCGCGCAAAGACGCAACAGACAGGCAGCGGAGCGCAACAACCACGCCACGCGACCCACTGCCACGCAATTGCGCCACGCGACCCGCGCCACACTCCCGTCACAACCTCCCCCCCCACTCCTCTCCCGGGTGCTCACAGCAGCAGCCACCGCGCTCCATCCCGTCTCGGGACGACGCTTGCCGAGCCCCCCCCCCACGGCCCCCCCACCCACGCGACTTTGTGGTAGTCAACGGGCCTCTGTGGTAGTCTGTGGGTCTCTGTGTGAGTCTATGGATCTCCCATGCCAGTCTGTGGGTCTCCGTGTGAGTCTATGGATCTCCCATGTAGTCTGTGGGTCTCTGTGTGAGTCTATGGATCTCCCATGTAGTCTGTGGGTCTCTGTGTGAGTCTATGGATCTCCCATGTAGTCTGTGGGTCTCCGTGTGAGTCTATGGATCTCCCATGTAGTCTGTGGGTCTCTGTGTGAGTCTATGGATCTCCCATGTAGTCTGTGGGTCTCTGTGTGAGTCTATGGATCTCCCATGTAGTCTGTGGGTCTCCGTGTGAGTCTATGGATCTCCCATGTAGTCTGTGGGTCTCCGTGTGAGTCTATGGATCTCCCATGTAGTCTGTGGGTCCCTGTGTGAGTCTATGGATCTCCCATGTAGTATGTGGGTCTCCGTGTGAGTCTATGGATCTCCCATGTAGTCTGTGGGTCTCCGTGTGAGTCTATGGATCTCCCATGCCAGTCTGTGGGTCTCCGTGTGAGTCTATGGATCTCCCATGTAGTCTGTGGGTCTCCGTGTGAGTCTATGGATCTCCCATGTAGTCTGTGGGTCTCCGTGTGAGTCTATGGATCTCCCATGTAGTCTGTGGGTCTCCGTGTGAGTCTATGGATCTCCCATGTAGTCTGTGGGTCTCCGTGTGAGTCTATGGATCTCCCATGTAGTCTGTGGGTCTCCGTGTGAGTCTATGGATCTCCCATGTAGTATGTGGGTCTCCGTGTGAGTCTATGGATCTGTGCGTCTCCGTGTGAACTGGTGTCCAGTTCGAGCGATGATCTTGAGAGTAGGGCACGAGAGGTGTGCACGATCAGCTGAGCTCCGAAGCAGGAGGCTGGATTCACAATTCGGGGGTGGACTGACAGCCGACACTCGATTCGTATCCAGGCGAGAGTTCGTGAGCGAGTGAGAGAGGGAAACGAAATCACCTGTTGATCCGGAGAGTCAGGACTCCGCCGCACGTCTTGATTTTGTTTTGCGCCTCGGTGTGGGTCAGCTCCGCGGCGTCTGCCCCGCAGATGGAGACGATGGCGTCCCCAGGGCACAGGCCGGCCTGGCTCGCTCGACCGCCCGGGGTCACCTGGGGTCAGGGCGGGCGGCACGATCAACTCCCGGCCGCTCACAATCACCACCGCCCTCTCGCTCACTCACCCACTAACCCACTCGCTCACCCACTAACCTACTCGCTCATCCACTCACCCACAGTCACCAAACTCGCTCACTCACCCACCCACGAACCCACTCACTCACCCACTAACCCACTCGCTCATCCACTCACCCACCGACTCACTCACTTACTAACCCGCTCACTCACCTACTCACTTATCCACCCACTGATCCATATACTCACTCACTTGCCCAATTCACTCACTGGCTCACCCAATTACTCGCCCACCCACCTACCCAATCACCCCTCTCCACCCCCTTCCACTGACCCCTCTCGCCAAACTCACCAAACTCATCCCCTCACCGCCCCGAACCCACACGCGGCAACAGCAAAACAGCTGCCTGCCCTCGCGTCAGCGGCCCGGTATTATAAATTATGCAACGCGGACACGCATGCATAATGCACAGGAACAGAACGCGCACGCTCAGAAAGAAAACACGAGCTCCCCCAGGGTGCCCACCGTCTACTCGTGCTCCAGCACACGCACACACACACGCACACACACACACGCACACACACACACTCACACACAGACACACTCACACGCATACTCGCAATACACAACAGGGGCCATTCACCACCAAAACTAAAGTGACAATAGATTCTTTGCCGGTTGGATTCTCCGCTTCGGTCTGTAGAGAAACAACGCTGTGTGTACCAACGCCAAGACAAAAACACGCCGTAAACACGCACTCAAACCGACCACACGTATCCATACACACACACAAACACACCACACAAAGATCCTCCGTATAGCTTTAACAGACTGTTGGGGCAAGTGCTTTTGACGAGCACGGATGAAGGCCGGCACGGCACACGAGGGGGTGGGTGGCCAACACCACGCCCAGCCGCCTTTGTCTCCCCAGTGGCGATGCTTACACACCGCACCAGGTACTCATTTGAGGCTGAGTCGACCTAGGGGAGGCCCAGGACCTTTTCAGATAATCGTAACCGGCGTTGGTGGCTGTGAGCGGGAATCGAACTCGGGTCGCCGGGTTTGTAGCGCAGCGCAGTGCTAACCGCTGCACCACCGCTCCCCATCACTCACACACACACCCACACACACCTACACACACCTACACACACCCACACACACACCCACACACACCCACACACCTACACACACCCACAAGTGGACACACACACCCACACACCCACAAGTGGACACACACACCCACACACACACACCCACACACACACACGTGGACACACTACTCGCGTACGTATACCGAACCAACTGTGTGCGTTAAAAAACCCAAAATAAAACGTGGACACTCCGGGTCCAGGTGGCTCAAGCAGCGGCACAGCGAGCTGCTGGCAATCATCGGAGGGTCACGGAAGTTCAAGTCCTGGTTGGGGGTTCACTCAGCCCCATCATCCCATCGAGGGGGGGGGGGGGGTCAACAAGATGAGTGCCACTTCTTTTTGTGCGTGCGGAATTGAGCGGGGACAGTCGTGGTCACATGGATGGACCCGGCCCCCGCCAGAGGAATGGGTAATTTCCACAGCCGGCTCAGGGGGGCTGTGAAGGGGAAGTGAGCGCTGCCTCGATGCTCACTTGAGTCGGAAATTTGCTTCTTTTGACACAGAAACCGCACGGGGCTCACGCGAAGTATATCAGGTGCCGCGGTGGCCAGGAGATGTTCACTACCTCGCCTGGTCTACAGGAGGTCGTGGCTTCCATTCCGACCCTGACGATACCTGCTGTATATTTGGAGTTTGCGTGTCTCTCTCTCATCATCATCACGGTGGCTAGATGTTCACTACCTCGCCTGGTCTACAGGAGGTCGTGGCTTCCATTCCGACCCTGACGATACCTGCTGTATATTTGGAGTTTGCGTGTCTCTCTCTCATCATCATCACGGTGGCTAGATGTTCACTACCTCGCCTGGTCTACAGGAGGTCGTGGCTTCCATTCCGACCCTGACGATACCTGCTGTATATTTGGAGTTTGCGTGTCTCTCTCTCATCATCATCACGGTGGCTAGATGTTCACTACCTCGCCTGGTCTACAGGAGGTCGTGGCTTCCATTCCGACCCTGACGCCTGGTGTGTATTTGGAGTTTGCGTGTCTCTCCCTCCCAGCGGTCGCGTGGATTTTCTCCGGGTCCTGCGGGTTTTCCCCCTCCGTATTTAGAATCAACATCACCACGCGTTTAGAGTCTTTGGCTGCTATAAATGTCCACGTGATGATGATGACGACGATGAGCCACTTTCGTTGAGCTCTCATTCGTGATGGCCCCGTTGCTTCTGACAAAAACTCCCACGTAGCTCAGTGGGGCCTTACCTGCTAAAATACAACAATTATAATAATAACTTTGAGTCTATATTTACCCGGGACAACTGGAGACTTGAAAAGGGCAACAGCCACACGCACCGATGGAAACTGCTCGCTCAACTCGTGTGTGTGCGTGTGTGCAAGCTCGCTCAACTCGTGTGTGTGCGTGTGTGCAAGCTCGCTCAACTCGTGTGTGTGCGTGCGTGTGCAAGCTCGCTCAACTCGTGTGTGTGCAAGCGAGCGAACTCAACACTTGCACGCGTTACGCGGCGAACACAACAACAGGCGCCATTCACGGCTGAGCGGTGACCTCAGTGGGCGCCTGGACGGAGCCGCGCGTCACGCGAAGGAACGCGGCGGCAGCGGCGACGTCGTGGGGAGAAGGGAAGGCGCGCGGTGACAGGCCGTGGTGACACGCACACACACGCACACAGACACACACGCACAGATACGCACGTACACATGCACAGACACGCACACACACACGCACAGACACACACGCACAGACACGCACGTACACATGCACAGACACGCACACACAGACACGCACACACGCACACACACGCACACAGACACGCACGCACAGACACGCACGTACACATGCACAGACACGCACACACAGACACGCACACACAGACACGCACACACAGACACGCACACACAGGCACACGCACACACGCACAGACACACGCACAGACACACGCACAGACACACGCACAGACACACGCACGCACACACAGACACACGCACAGACACGCACACACAGACACGCACACACAGACACACGCACAGACACACGCACGCACACACAGACACACACGCACAGACACACGCACAGACACACGCACAGACACACGCACAGACACACGCACAGACACACGCACAGACACACGCACAGACACACGCACGCACACACAGACACACACGCACAGACACACGCACAGACACACGCACAGACACACGCACAGACACACGCACAGACACACGCACAGACACACGCACAGACACATGCACAGACACGCACACACACACGCACAGACACACGCACAGACACACGCACAGACACGCACACACAGACACACGCACAGACACACGCACAGACACACGCACGCACACACAGACACACGCACAGACACACGCACAGACACACACACAGACACGCACACACAGACACACGCACAGACACACGCACGCACACACAGACACACACGCACAGACACACGCACAGACACACGCACAGACACACGCCCGCAGACAGACACACGCACAGACACACGCACAGACACACGCACAGACACACGCACAGACACACGCACGCACACACAGACACACACGCACAGACACACGCACAGACACACGCACAGACACACGCACAGACACACGCACAGACACACGCACAGACACACGCACAGACACATGCACAGACACGCACACACACACGCACAGACACACGCACAGACACACGCACAGACACGCACACACAGACACCCGCACAGACACACGCACAGACACACGCACGCACACACAGACACACGCACAGACACACGCACAGACACGCACACACAGACACACGCACACACGCACAGACACACACGCACAGACACGCACACACAGACACACACACACAGACACACACGCACAGACACACACACACAGACACGCACACACAGACACACGCACACACGCACAGACACACACGCACAGACACGCACACACAGACACACACGCACAGACACACACGCACAGACACACACGCACAGACACACACACACAGACACACACACACAGACACACACACACAGACACACACACACAGACACACACACACAGACACACACACACAGACACACACACACAGACACACACACACAGACACACACACACAGACACACACACAGACACACACACACAGACACACACACACAGACACACACACACAGACACACACACACAGACACACGCACAGACACACACGCACAGACACACACACACAGACACACACACAGACATACACACACAGACACACACACACAGACACACACGCACAGACACCACACACAGACACACACACACAGGACACACACACACGACACACACACACAGACACACACACACAGGACCACACACACACAGTACACACACACACAGACACGCACACACAGACACACCACGCACAGACACACACGCACCAGACAACACACACACAGCACACGAACGCACACACACACACGACCACACACACAGACACACACACACAGACACACAACACACAGACACAACCACAGCACATACACCACACACAGACACACCACACAGACACACACACACAGACACACACACACAGACACACACACAGACACACACACACAGACACACACACCACAGAACCACACACGGACCACAACACAGACAACGCACAGACACACACGCACAGACACACACCACAGACACCACACACGACAACACAGACACACACAGACACACACACACGACACCACACAGACACACACACACAGCATCAACCAACACAGGACACACACACACAGACACACACACACAGACACACACACACAGACACACACACACAGACACACACACACAGACACACACACACAGACACACACACAGACACACA